GTTGTGCTGTGTTCCTCTCCTCTCTGAGTTCCTGGAACATAAGAAAATTTGCACTAAACATCCACCTGTCCTCATCACGAACAGTAGCAAGGGGCCAAGGACTTCAGAGAAATTTGGATTTTTCCAGAGTTGTGCTGAGTTACTGGCCTCTGAGTTCAGGCAGCAAGCATGGCCATAGGGAGAGTGGTGGCAGCTCAGGGGACATGAAGGAGAAGCAGGGTAAAGAATCTCTCATGTACAAAAAGACAGATACCACTCTGTTATCCATACCATAGGACATAGCTATTTATCCAAAGGCAAAGTGACCAAGGCTAATATGACTCTGCAGGCACTCAGGGCACCAAAGTGGCAGTGAACCAGTGGAGAACAGATCCTCCTGCCTCCTTTGCCCCTGCCTGTCCCTGGTGCCAAGAGCACCCTGTGTGTCCTGGAGCAGATCTTGTTTCTGAAGACCTTCGGCAGCCACATGTCCAAGCAAGTGTCCACCACAGTGGCCTTGTTCAGCCAAAAGCTGGAAGCCAAGGTCTGTTTCTGGATGCCTTGAAACAAGCCAAGCTACCTCACGCCAACATCCCTTCCACCACTGGTCCCCTGCCCCTGGGGCTGACACCATTTGCCCTGAAGCTGGATGGGACTCAGGTGTTCCTGAATGTCAGGTCTCCTGAATGTCAGCCCATCTGTCATGGTGATGTTGTCAAAAGTATTGATGTAGATGAGATCAGCTCCTTAGTTACCCCAATGGCTCCTCCAAAGCACTTGCACTGCTTTCCAGCACCCATGTGGCATCACCTACTCCGAGTTCCCTCTGATGGCTTTCCAGGATGCCCCAGGGAAGGTAAGTCCTGCCCCTTTTGGCCTGCAGTGCCACAGAAGTTGATGAAATGACTCATAAGAGAGCAATGGCCTGACCAATGACTCACCTTCACTCATGGGCAACCAGGAGCTTCTGATCATGTCCTTTTAGACATTATTCCAAGTCAATAGTCAAATAGAAAGCATCACATCAAGATCCCCCAATAGTGGGATCAAAGCTAAGAGCTCCAGGAACAGCTGCACTGAGATGGAAGGTCATGGTAGTCTCCCACCAACATTTATCTAAGCACAGCCTAGCTATGTCCAGCCATGAACATTTGTAGGACCCTCCACCATGTCCCCAAAGGCATGACACCTTAGCTTTCTAGGCACACCAACAAGCAAACCAATGTGGGAAGAACTTCTTATCTACCAGTGAACTTCTGATTCACAAGCAGGCACACACTGGAGAGAAGCTTTTTGTATGCAAAGTACATGGGTGACTTTATACCACCCAACACAATCTGAAGGTCCACTATATGAGATAGGGAGTCAAAAGTAACTCAGCCCTCAATGGGAGAAAGTTGGCCATTGAGAACACAATGACTCTGTTGGGTATGGATGGAAGATGAATCTCAGAAATGTTTTCCAAGGAAATCCTGTCTCCCTCAGTGAGTGTGGACCTGGTGGTATAGAACCAGTACACTGGCATGCTTAATGGCGGCCTGGCCACGAAGACCAATGACAACTCAATGATCCAGAGTGGCAGCATTTTCACGCTGCCTGTGTCCCTGAGGGCCAGCTCCAGGTGCATAAAGCACTGTGTCCAAGTCAGTCAGATTTCAGTGCTGACACAGAGAAAACAGGTGTTACTGACAGTGTTAACAAACACCACTTTCCTCACTTTCTGGATGATAACAAAGTCAATGGTCAACCAAGCTCAAGGAGCACAAGAATGCAAACTAGAATGTAAATGGAGTGTAGTCTCCAGAATCTGGGCTTTATTTTCATTTTCTAAAAGAACCCATCTCCTTCTGCTTTCTTTTTTCTTATTTTTTTTTTTGGTTTTTCTCTGGTACCGGGAACCGAACTCACGACCTTGCGCTTGCCAGGCAGGCGCTTTGCCGCTGAGCTAAATCCCCAGCCCCTCTTTTTTCTTATTGATGTGTACATGATGTTTATGGCTGTGATCCAAACTTGGGCATTCCTGCAATTATAGTTGTTGCTACTCTGCTTTGCAAAATATGAAAACAAAGACAAATCAAAAACTAGAAAAAATTCATACTAAAAGAAAGATGATTTTTTTTTTTAATTTTGGGGAAGAAACAAGCATTGCAAAGTAGCTTTATTACTTGCAGCAAACTATATATATGGAAGGTTTTTATAACCTAGAGTGACTTCTTGCAAAAACTATCACCTGTGTCAAAGTGTGGTAGTTGGAACTTACTGCACCACACTGGAAAAGACAACTATTTAGTCTAACTGTGGGATGAGGCACAGTATACTTCTACTATAACCATGTGCAGGTAAAAGGACAAGGGTCTGGCATCTGCCTAGGGATTTGTTTGATGTAGCTTCCACCCTGTTTTGTTTTGTTTTTGAAAGTTTGTAAATGAGGTAGAACCTCTCAGGTCGAGGGACCTGGGCCCGTGGTAAGCAGCGATGGTGAACAAAGAGGACACCGGAGACCAGGCTGATGGCGCAGATCCACTTTATTGTGGAAGTACCAGGCATTTTATTGAGCAG